CAAATCCAACCCCATTGTGTCCTCATGTCCAACCCCTTTGTGTCCTCATGTCCATCCCCATTGTGTCCCCATGTCCATCCCTATGGTGTCCCCAAATCCACCCTCATAGCATCCCCAAATCCAACCCCATTGTGTCCCCAAATCCATCCCCACAGTTCCCCAGATCCCCCATTGTGTCCCCATGCTCATCCCTATGGTGTCCCCAAATCCACCCTCATACCATCCCCAAATTCATCCCCATTGTGTCCCCATGCCCATCCCTATGGTGTCCCTAAGTCCATCCCTATGGTGTCCCCATGTCCCCCCTATGGTGTCCCCATGTCCCCCCTGTAGTGTCCCCAAATCCACCCCCATAGCATCCCCAAATCCAACTCCATTGTGTCCTCATGTCCAACCCCATTGTGTCCCCATGCCCACCCCTATGGTGTCCCCAAATCCACCCCATAGCATCCCCAAATCCAACCCCATTGTGTCCCCAAATCCATCCCCACAGTTCCCCAGATCCACCATTGTGTTCTCCCCAAATCCAACCCCATTGTGTCCCCAAATCCATCCCCACAGTTCCCCAGATCCACCATTGTGTTCCCATGCTCATCCCTGTGGTGTCCCCAAATTCACCCCCATAGCATCCCCAAATCCAACCCCTTTGTGTCCCCAAATCCAACCCCTTTGTGTCCACATGTCATCCCTATTGTGTCCCCATGTCCATCCCTATGGTGTCCCCAAATCCACCCTCATAGCATCCCCAAATCCAACCCCATTGTGTCCTCAAATCCATTCCCATGCTCATCCCTGTGATGTCCCCAAATCAACCCCATAGCATCCCCAAATCCAACCCCACTGTGTCCCCATGTCCATCCCTATGGTGTCCCCAAATCCACCCCCATAGCATCCCCAAATCCACCCCATAGCATCCCCAAATCCACCCCCATAGCATCCCCAAATCCAACCCCATTGTGTCCCCAAATCCACCCCACAACGTCCCCATATCCACCTCCCACTTCCCCATTCCCAGCCCCACCCCCCAGCGCCGGTTATCCCGGGACAGACAGACAGACAGACAGACAGACGGACGGGACGCGCGATTCCCTGCTTCTCCGTTTATTATCAAGCAGCCTTCGTTTAAA